CGCGTCCTTCTGGCGGCTGTGAGGCCGCCGGCGCTCGCTGCACGTGTGGCCGGAGCAGAGCGGCGCTCCCGGCCGCACGGCATTCCCGGAACGCGGGGCCGCTCCGTGCCCGCGGCGCCGCTGCTTTAACCCCTCTCCCGAGGTTAACTCCCCGCATCCCGCTCTCCCATTTGCTTCTCCCGCTTGTTTTCCAAACACCGGGAGCCGGCAACTAACAGGTTGTGGTGCCTTTGCTCCTGGTGCACCAGGTTGGGATGTGGATCCCTGGTGGCACCTTTAACCCCTCTCCCGAGGTTAACTCCCCGCATCCCGCTCTCCCATTTGCTTCTCCCGCTTGTTTTCCAAACACCGGGAGCCGGCAACTAACAGGTTGTGGTGCCTTTGCTCCTGGTGCACCAGGTTGGGATGTGGATCCCTGGTGCCACCGCTCCTTGCGTGATTTTGGAGGAGAATCCCAGGCCAGCGCGGGGTTTCCTTCACACCGGAATTTCGGGCTCCCTAACTCCCTTGCCCCAGGAAGATGTTCCAAGCCAGTTGCTCCCCTCTTCCCTTTCCCATCTAAATGCAATTAATCCAGGTGTCTCTTGCCTGGGCCTTGTCCATGTTCTTGCCCCTTGTCCCCTGTTCTCCGTCCCTTCGGAATAAACATTAACCTGAGCACGGCCCTGGCCCCGGTGTCGTCTGTGGCTCGAGTGCAGGTGCATCCCGGGATGCCAGAGCATCCTGGGAACAGCCTGGAGATGGGAAAAGTGGCCGGGACTGGGCCCGCTCCTCTCCCGGCCGGTGCCTTTGGATCCGTCGCTCCGCAGTGCCCGGACGCCGGGGCCCTGGCGATGCCGGAACCGGGCCCTTGTTGGGTCACCGCTCGGTTCCGGGGTGGTGACGACGGCGCCGGCGGCACCGTGCGAGGACGCTCTTTGCCGGGAGCCGGAGCCGGCTCCGATTTTGGGAAGGGAGGGACCCGCTGGCGCCGGCCATGGTGACGCTGGAGTCGGGCACGGAGTGCTACGACGTGGTGGACACGCTGGGCAAAGGCACCTTCGGGGAGGTGGCCAAGAGCTGGCGGAGGAGCACGGGCGAGATGGTGGCCATCAAGATCCTGCAGGACGACGGGCACCGCAGACGCGTGGTGCGCAACGAGCTGAAGCTGCTGCGGGCCATGGGCGCGCTGGACGCCGACGCGGCGCACATCGTGCGCTTCCTCGAGGCCTTCCACGACGGCGCCAAGTGCTACCTGGTCTTCGAGCTGCTCGAGCAGAACCTCTTCGACTTCCAGAAGGAGCACGACTTCTCGCCGCTGCCCGTGCGCCACATCCGCACCATCACGGCGCAGGTGCTCACGGCGCTGGCCAAGCTGCAGGAGCTCGCCATCATCCACGCCGACCTCAAGCCGGAGAACATCATGCTGGTGGACCACGCGCGCCACCCGTTCCGCGAGCCGCAGAACATCATGCTGGTGGACCACGCGCGCCACCCGTTCCGCGTGAAGCTCATCGACTTCGGCTCGGCCAGCATCCTGAGCGAGGTGCGCTCCATCCCGGAGCCCTACATCCAGTCGCGCTTCTACCGCGCGCCCGAGATCCTGCTGGGGCTGCCGTTCTGCGAGAAGGTGGACGTGTGGTCGCTGGGCTGCGTCATGGCCGAGCTGCACCTGGGCTGGCCGCTCTACCCGGGCGGCAGCGAGTACGACCAGGTGCGCTACATCTGCGAGACGCAGGGGCTGCCGCGCGGCGCGCTGCTGCAGGCGGCCCGCAAGGCGCCGCGCTTCTT